CGCTTAATTCACAACCGTCTGTCGCCCGCGCCACCGGCGACGGCATCTTATGCTAGTCTTCTGCCAGTGTTCCCACTGTTCAATTTTTACTCTAATTTTCTACCCTTCCAAATAATGTTTCAAATTTGTAATTCGTTTCAAAAGTCCTTCAATTTCTGCTCCTTTGATTTTCATCCTACCCTATGTCGTCGTCAGCCCTACCCCAGCTTCCAGAGTTATCAAAATGGCAATGGTTTGTCTAAGAAACAAAATAACCAGTAGTCTTTTGTGTTGTAGTTTTTCTACCCCATCTATTTCTCTTTCTACTTGACCCCTGCGCGTGTAGCGCGGACTCCAGGCGGTTCCATGCCAAGCGGTTACTATTCCAGAAGAGGTAACATAGTTTGCGGTTGTAAGCAATACTGATTCTCCCTGTTAAGGCTGGCTTAGCAGAAGAAAGGATCACCGTCCGGGTGAGGGATGCAGAGACAGGCCGATCCCTTTTCTTCTTCTAAGGCAGAGCCTGAACTACGAGATCATCTTGAACTCTTTTGGCGTCCCTTACCGGTGTAATATTCATGCTCAGGGGTCAATCTACTAATGGTGATCCGTTTCCAACGAACTTGGTGAGTTGGGTTATTTTGGCGCTGGCGTCCGGGTGGTAAAACAATTATCAAAGCACGCTTCGTCGTATTGGATTCTGCTCCTGTAGCCATGAAAAAGAACCGGAAAATTCAGTCCTGACTTGGTAGTCTGTGGGGACAACATGTCAAAATTGAACGTTTTCAGGTATTCTCCTAGCAATAAATGCTTTCTACCACATAATTTGTCTGATTGGTGAACTGGTAAACGCAGCATTCATTATTCGCGGTGAACATCCTACGAGGGATCGCTGTTATCCACTCATTGTGGTTTACATATTCGCGATTTGTCAGCAGGTTTTCATCACTTTTGTGATGGCTGTTGACTTGCTGATAGCACTTCTATTTCCGATGTGGTATGTTCATTTGAATCTACTTACCGTACTAGGGCAGATAGACATCTTATTTATTTATTTATTTAGTACGCTGTATAAGACAACGGATATATGAGAATCAATCTATGTCGCGGTTTGTTTTTGTGGGGTAAAAGCGGCATTTTCGTCACGACCTGTCACGCAAGTGAGCACTCGGAGAAGTAGCGAATAAATGAGCCAAATGCCCCCCTCCCAAAAGCCGAAGTGCGCCTCCCATGATCTCATTACCTCAGCCCGTCGTATCATACGCGTTTCACAAACGCAATATACAATTTAAGGGTAAATGAGCGAGTGTGCAGCGATCATAGGCACAGCATTAGTTGGATGTTGGTCGAGCGTTAACGAACCCACTCCTTTTTTGGAGTCAGCTACGACCCCCCCCCCCCCCAGCCCTCTGTCCTTCCTCATCGATCGAGCGGGGGGGGGCATATAGTACGTGAAACAGGAAAATCACCAAAAGTCAACCGCCACTCCCACAACGCCAAAACGTAAATACGACCCCCCTCCCAAAAATGATCAAATACGACCCCCCTCCCTTTACAACGTCCATGAAGCGAGAAAAATCAACTATCAAAATAAATTTTTCTCAGCCCAAATACGACCCCCCCCTCCTGGCGACCAAATACGACCCCCCCCCCCTGTTGGGGATTCCCCAAGCAACGATGTGCCCTGGTAATGACAAGTGGCGCGCGACCACCCGCGCGTCCTGGGTTCAAATCCCGGAACCGACTTCCGCCCAGGCCAGCCAAGCCTTCTACCCTCCGGGAACGGTAAATTGGTACCAGATTCGTCTGGGAGGATAAAACACTGACTTGTACATCGGCTGGCCACCGCAAGTCATTGTATAGGCCACATCGCATTCAATAAGCCACTACGATTCTGAATGGAAGTAGAATGCGTGCCGCATCCCACAAAGGGATTGATCAACGGCGAAGACTTTATCCTTTTTTATATAAGGTATAAGGACCACCCAATATGCAAGGGCACCCTATACACAAATGCGAACTGTGTCCCAGAGAATAGCGTTATCGGTTCAGACTTAATTTTCTTTTATTTATTACTTTCAGGTATCGGAAATGCTCTTCAACGCCATACCTCACGGTTTTTATTTCGGTTGGAACGGCCTATGCTCTTCTGGTTTCAATATGGGGTTTTGTTGCTCAGAATAGTGAAGTCATACTCTTCTGCAATCCACCATTAGGTAGCGACTCTCTATTCGCAACTCATTTGAACTTTTTGTGTAGATGAAACTTCTCGTAATGAGACAAAGCACCTAGTGCCAAGACGCAACTCAAAAAAATACTCAAAAGGGTCAGTAGAATTAACTGACATCATTTTGATATGCCTACTTACCTCGGCGAAGCTCAGTGCAACGAGATGGTGGTGTGAAGAAACGGTTCGATTACCCCTCCTTGCGCCCCCCCCCCCCTCTTTCTCTAAAATTGTTCCCCTGTTACGAGCCTGGTCACTGGTTCTGCCAAACCGCCAACTAGTCCGGGGGAGGCAGTATGGGGCATATGGAAAATCTATACAACGTCTGAATAACCTACTCGAAGCCAACTACGAACACCTAGTAGCAAGAGGGTCAAGGAGGA